CCGTTGCTTTCCAACATAATTGTTGTGCGTCACTTCTTTATGCATCCGCTGTTGGAACAGGACGAGCACAACGAATACGCAAATGCTGATGGTGGTTTGGAGTGAGCAGGACTTGCGCGAGGTGTATGTAGAATTCTTTGATGATGTAATACCAGAATTGCAGGGATTTGGTTATTTACGAAATTTCCGTACTGTGCGTAATGTGTTGCGACACTTGCGTGGACATGTGTTCGTCGAGTACTTGGAGGAGAGGTGCGTTTGATGCTGCATGTGATACATGTACAGAAAATTATAATCGTTTTTCATTGGCAGATCTGCTTTAAAAGCTTTTATAAAGCTACAAGGTCGCTTTTATGCCGGCAGGCAACTAAATGTAGAATTTTCAAGCATTCAAAATTGGCGGAGCGCTATTTGTGGTATGTGAGGCGTTAGCAGCTAACACATATTTCTCTGATGGTATCCTTTTTACTAAAACAAAGAACAAACTAAACATCAAAACGATCAAAAGAAAACATACAGTGCACATAACTTATGATATATATGTTATATGTTAAATATGATTTTTAACATTTTATGCTAAACACTTTTCCTTAACAAAATTTTCTATTTCTCGAAAAAAGTGTTATCGCACGCGCACAAATGTCCTAAGGGTGATAAATGTAATTATTTACACTTATTCAAAAACCCTGGTAATAAGTACAACACGCGTTTGGTGGCCAAAAGAACACCAAGTGCTAGGGTGCAGGTAGCCACGCCCCTAATAAGGTAAAGTACATATCGTCGTTTAAAGTACAAAACCGCGTATCGTCGTTCTGACCGCGTAACTGACCTTTTTTGTCAAAAATTGGATTTGCTCATAGAAGCCCTTGGCTCAAGCCTTATCCATTCGTTCTGAAATATACTAGCCAGAAATGCGATTGCTTTATAAAAGAGAGAAACATTTAGAAAGATGAGGGTTTTGTACTCTACAAAATAATTATGCACCTTCACATACGCGATTTTGCATTATCTTGATATGCGGTTTTGTACTTTAAACGATGATAAACATATTAACAAAGCAAGCATCCTTAATTCCTTTAATATATTTTTCAAGCTGGAACATGGTGACAGCGAATGATGTAAAACAAAATTCACGCAACTGGCGTTGGTCCGAGAGTCCTAAAATTGAAGCAACGAGATTTGATCCAGAAAAGACTGAGAAAAAAGTTAGCAAAAGCGATGATTGCCGTAGACATAAAAATGATGATAAACTAAAAAATTCCACCCACACCCAAACAAAAAACGAAGATGTCGATGGTAAATCAAAGTGTAAACATGGTAAATCAAAGCGTAAACGCAAAAAACAAAAACATGAGCGCGACAAGTCTCATAAAAAGCACAAAAGAAAGCGTTCGCGCAGCTCAAAGCATTCTGAAAAGCATCAAGACCGCCAAAATGATTCCAGAACTAGTGACAATAAGCACAGTAAAAGCAAATATGATCACACTACGCGCTCTTGTACACCCAGTACTAAGAGTGATGATGGCCGACAGAGCAAATCAGCTGGAAGTGAAAGTAGTCGTTCAGCTAGACAGGATGATGACAAGGGACAGCATAAGAATGGCAGCGACAAACGCGAGCATTCAACTGCTGAGGAGAGGCATACAAAGCAAAAATACCATAAATCTAGTAGCTCAGATAGGTGTATATAGTTTTGCTGAATTACAATCTGAGAAATATTGTGAATATATCCTTTTTTTTTAAATCGCCTAGCTTTACTCCAAAGAAAAATAGAAGCATTGACAGCAACAGAAGTCGGAGCAAAGAAAGTCCCGAGCGGAGAAACGCGGCGTCGAAGTGTTAACAGCGGCTTATTTTGAAATATCTTCGGTGATGCTACAAAATGTTCTATGTCAATTATTACCTCTGGTGCTTAAAGGATCTGTCATCAGCACTCCGGTGCAGATCAAAGCACATCTAAGGCGCCAATGGTAATAATTGACTTTTGACGTTTTGCAGTATCACCGACGATATTCTGCATGCACTAAATATTTTCAATAAAAACATACAGTGTTAAAAGTTTTCATAGTTAAAAAATATGTTTTCAAGTTATTTTACACCTAAAGTATGTATAAAAGTAAACTATTTTGTTATAGCTTTTTTGAACTCTTCTAGTTTGCAAAAGTTTTGATTTGCCCCCGATGAATATCGTTTAGGCCTGTCTATAGTCCTTCTGGTTTAGAAAATGACTTACATACGTCCCTGGCTGAGCCTGGTCTTTGAGGAACATGAGATAGGGAGTATGCCCGCCTTGAAGCAAGTGCCTGCAGGCTTGGAGTCAATGTCTGTCATGCTTTAAAGGATTTGGAGCAACCCTTCTAGAAGTTTTCGTTCTGATACAGGCAACACTTAATGGGGTTCACTGATCTAAACGAGCGTAGATCTTTAAAACAACATGTCTTGGATTTGCCGAATAAATTTGGTGCGTAGAAGCGATTGTTTTAGGAATTAGGTCGAAATTTTTGATGTTATCTGTAGCAGCTTGGTTGTATTGGAAAATCCGTAGTCTTATTGCGACGAAAAAATAGTGAATGAGGCCATATAAAATATAAATTCTCCCAATAGATGCCTGTTGGAAGTAGCACGTTTTTTGGAAGCGATACATTTTAGATTAAGTAAGGTTAGGTAAGGTGAGGTTGTGGTTGTGGTGGCCTCAGACAAGGGATGCACTTGGATATTTAAGAGATAGTCCTTTGCGCTACCACGTCAACTGAACGGATATCATTACCTAGTCGGTGGAATTGCTCGTCCCCGCGGCTCGCTAATCCACATTATGCTTTTACTTGAGTTCTACTGTCGAGACAGCGCATACTTAAGTTACAAAAGCACCATCACTTTTAACAATATTGTAATTCATACATACTTACCCACTCCTCCTCATAATTCGTTAAGTTTTCTTTTTTCAATAAACAATTTTTTTTATAATTCTTAAAAATTTTTTAAGATTTTAATGTTTATTTTCGGCACTCATTGCAGATAAGTAATTGGAAAAAGTACATTTTGTGAAAAGTGCATGGCATATAAAAATTCGATAAATTTATTTATGTAGATAGAATAAATATTTTATAACAAATAAAAATATAACGGCTTATGTAATAGGCTGGCCGTAGAGAGTGATCTCCACGTCGTTGCAGCCAAATTTTTTCAATTTAGCTGGCGGAAAATTTTAGGTGAGTTTTCATCATCAGTTTGCTACAAGAATGCACGCAAGTAATAAATTTTAAAGTCTATTATTTGTTGTTTTATACTTTTTTACAAATAAAATTAAAAATAAAAAATTTTAAAAAAGAAATTAAAATAATAAAATTAATAAAAAAAAAAACACGCACACACAGACAATGCGAAGGCAACACCAACTCACTGCAACGCCGCCTTAAAGACGAATACCCGGATTCGTGGCTGCCACATAGCGCAGCAGTTCATCGTTATCCTCGCAGATGACAGGCTTTTCGTGATAGCAGGCCACATCGTGCCATGCAATACCATCATTGTAGACATTATTCAACACCGACAAGCACTGTTCCTTGGTCTGGTTGATCTCGTATTCAGCATTGTCAGGTTGTGGGCGCTTCTTGTGGCCAGTTTGCGACCATGGATTGTAGCCCCAGCCTTGTGGAATGCGGTTGGTGGCTTGAATCTTCTCGCGGGTGGCAGACCAGAACCAACCGTAAACATTTTTGGGTTCTAAATCGGGACGATTTTCACAGCCAGCGAAATCGCAAATACGGCCAGCAGTCCAAATGTATGGTACATCGTTCTGTTGAATGACACGGAAGATCAGATTGTTCTTCTCTTGTGTCTCCAAAGCGACCAAGTCCATGCAGTATTCACGGCACAAGTTACGACCATCCAACCAATCGACCTTCTTGTTGGCCAACGCTGGTACGTGAGAGCTGAGGAACATGTTGCGACCGCGGTAGGAGAATTCCTTAGGACCTGAATGGGTGAGAGAGAAAGGGAGAGGGAGAAAAAGGGAATTAGTATGTGATGCAACAGTAGGTGACATTTGTATGTACATATGTATGCATGCATGTAAATATTGTATATATGTATATATACATGTATAATATTAATTCTGTAACTCTTCCAACAGTTAAACAACAAAAGACTTAAGCAACAAACTCGCTTGCGATTGCCACACATGCATTGTCTCTCCGTTGGCCCTTTTCAACACCATCACCGTCGCTCAAGCTATTCGTGTCACTGTTACAACTATTAATTATTTCCGAACCCCCCGCCAGCCATGCAGCCAGCATAAGACAAGTGCTAAAATATTACCGCAACAAGCTCAGCTGAGAGTCACGACAAGTAGCTATCGACTGCTATCGAAAAATCAACAAATACAACAGCAACGATCTCGCAGCAAACAACGGCTGAACAGGTAATATAATTTTATACTGTAGCATACGTATGGAGTCGCTCCTTTAGCTGCACTTTGCCGCTGCCATTGCTATTTTCTTCTTCGTTCAGCCGGTTGTAGAAAAAGTTTTTAAAAGTTTTCCCAACAATTATTCGCAATTGTGCTAATGAGCAACGCAAATGGGTGTGTGTTGGCGCTAAGTAGGTGGCTTGTTACACATGTCTACAATACCTTGACGGCTTCGCCAACGACCAGCGATAGAGCTAAAAAAAACACCGGCACTAACGGCGGCAGCCGCTTATATGTTGCAAAGTGTCAAGAAAAATGTGCAATTTTGTATGCAGTATATAAATATGTATTAAAGTCGACAGTGAATTTAAACAGCAACCGCCCAAATATTGTGCAAAAACTTGTTTGAACAGCAGCGCAGCGCCTATGGAATTTTTTCGCACATCGGCGTTGATTTATTTTCTTATTCCCTTTTGTAAATCTTTTGCCGTTAAAATTTTCCTACATATCTTCAGTTTACTTATTGGCTAACAAGCCACAACAAATGTAAACACTTGCATAATTAATGATGCTTTTAGTAGGCATATTTGCAAAATGCTGCTCAAATGAGTAAGTATCAGCAGCTGCCGTCAATGTGGGTGAGGTTCGTTGCAGGCACACGCGTCTTTAATAATACTCGAGAACGCCATAGCCGTTGGGATTTTCTTTTTTTCTTGATCACATTTCATTTTCTGCCGACCTTATTTTTTTATCTTGTAATTGATTTTAATTTTCAACCGACTTCAAAAAAAGGGCGAGGTTTTCAATTCTTTGGAATACTACTTTTTCTACTGTATGTTACCGCATAACTTTGGACCACTTTGACCGTTTTCTATCATTTTTTTAAGGCCTCAGAGGTTGTCCCATACTAATTTGGTTTAAATCCGATCATTGGATCATGCAGAAATTAACGGTACTTTTAAATTTGTATATGAGAACTGAAGTCGGTTTTGTTTATTTGTGTAAAAAATTATTTGTTTTGTGAGTAATAGATGCGGAGTATTAAGAATTTATGATTCAGAAGTGGAATAATGACGCGTTTTGTTCAGACAAGTTACACTTGTGGCTATGCAAAAAAAAACACGAGGAAGAATTTTGTAAATTAATAAAAAAAAACTTATTTTATTTAATTACAGTTCATACCTTAACAATAAAGATAAATAAGAGTTTAAAACTTTATATAATATTTGGAAAAATTCATAAATTTTTCATCAAAATTTGAAGCCTTTTAATCAAAATTGTTAGGAAAATTTTATTTCATTATAATAAAATGTAGGCTTGAAGTAGCTCAAAGTTCTGGTTGAATTTTGAAATTTTTTTCATACGATTTTGCGCACTTTTCACATATAAAAAGCATGCCCAACATGGAAAACACTACACAAAAAATTTGGCAAACAAATTTTCAAAAATTACCGAGACGTAAAATAAAAGATTAAATCAAAAATAAGAAAATAGTACCTAAAATTAAATTAAAAACATTTTATTATTTCTAAAACAAAATCCAAAAATTGAAAAATGATTAAATTTAAAAAGGTCAAAACATATGATCCTAAAAATCAAATTAAATAAAAAACTGTATTTTTCTTTTTTAAACAATGAAATCTAAAACCAAAAAGATAATTAAATTAAAATATACGCCTCTAGAAGTTTACTGAATTAAAACAAAATATATATTTATTTGTTTTAAAACTAACAAATCTTGAAAAAAAATTTAACTAACCAATAAAACAAAAGTAAATTAAAAAATAAAAAAACAAAATGGAAATAGATAAATATATTTTAGAAAATTACTCGAAACTAAATGGTTTGTTTCTGAAAATGAAATCTAAAAATTATAAAAAAAAATTTTGACCAAAGAAGGAGTAAATAGTATGTATTTAAAAATGAAATAAAAATAAAAGGTAATGTTTTTAAATGATATCGTTATTTTTAAAACAAAATTGAAAGACAATTTACTTAAAAAGACAAAAACTAAAGTTGAAAAAAATAAAATCCTAAATAAAAAATAAAATATATATTTTTTCTTTTTACTGGTTAATTGCAACACTATTTTTTCGACCGTGTAGTTGCAATCAACCGCGGCTTTCAATTAGCTCAACTTTAGTTAACAGTAGCCAATTATGTTGAATAAGGAAATGGATTAGCAACAAGAGCTTACGGGATGTGCATAGCTCAGTGGTTAGCACATTTGACTTTGCACATCGATGCTGAGGGTTTGATCCCCGCTGAAGTCTAGAAAAAAGTCCGAAATAGCAGCTATAACTTCTATCGCTTAGACTTTGTTGTCGTTTCCATTTTTCCTAATAAACAAATCGGGGTACAAATCTTAACAACACTATTGGAATAAACACATTAATACGCCACAAAAAAAAACAAGCGAACTTTTATTAAACCGCCAAATTTTAGCTATCCGAATTTGGTTCACTAAATTTCATAATTCGATCAGCTGATCACTTATTTGCCAGAACCGGGTTGTCAGAATTTCGAAAACACTTCCCCGGCCATTTCATGTTATGAAGATGAGTTAATAAACAGTTGCATTTAAACGGATTTGGCCGAGTGTATATTACAATTTCGATACATATATAAATGTTGATTAATTGAACCGATTTTTTCATTTAGCCGAAGTCTCAAATAACCGATGTATCAAAAAAGCAAAAATAAAAGTGGCAGTTTCCGTGCCAATTAAGCAGAGTTTTCAGTTAATCGGATTGCAACTAAAGAGCTGCGCAAAACCTTCTAAAAGGCACACTTTACTACTATGCAGTACTTACAAGCGGCGTACTACAGGTAGCGTTAACAGCAACACAAAATATTCTATAGCAAGTTGCGCAACAATACAAACACTTCAACATTCGAAATAGAATTTGCTACAGCGACGATAGCGCTTGAGTTTTGGGGTGAAGCAAATTGTAAAACCAAAAAGAAGGGTTGAAGTAAAATAGCGGCAAATCATAGCAAGACAACCGAGTGCACTAGAACATTTGCATGTATGTAAGCAACTCATTACCAATTGCTAGCGCAAGCCTCGCAGTTCGCAGTCAACGTCAATACCGTAATTAATAAAAATGCATATTTTGAGACTGTGTTTTTTTTTGTAAATACATACATAGATACTAAACTCCTGCGCAATTCCATTTAAAGGGCCTAACAAGACATCCGATCGCCGCGCAAATACTTTCCCTCCTTTACTCTCATCGTTCGGGTCAAGTGTGAGTAAGCATAAACCAGTTTCTGCAAGCGTACGTAAACTACCGATCAATAGCAAGATGCGTAGAGTATTTACTTTGCCTTCCGCAACTACTGCGAGTAAAAGGTATTTGACAGTAGAGTACTCTACTGGTAGTACTTGAGTATTTTCGAAGAAAACATACATTTGTGGCAAGAATGATAGAAGAATTTTCTGGATCGCGCATTTGTGGTATCTGAAAAAAGTAAGGACAGGAATGTAGTGGAGCGATGAAGAGAGCGACGAGCAAAACGTACTTTCAACTAAAATGCTGATATACATACCTAAGTACATATGTATGTATGTGCATAGATACGTATGTGCCATGATTCAATAATACAAGGTTAGATAATTATTGACAGCTGCGGTTTGACACTCCCTTACAAAAGGTTGCATTTACGAAGAACAGAGAAAGGGCAAGAAGGCAATCCCTTGTTTCGAAAATGGTAGTAGAAAAGTACGCAAAGTAGGCAATTAGTAGTGAAATTCCTTTTGTAAATTCTAATGTATTTGCAGGAAATCTGACATTTAAAACGAAATGTTGAACGTAATATTGATATATCTACGTGAATTATGTAATTTATATGCTACTTAGCCGTATAAAAACTGAAAAATGACTCACAATTAAAATAAGACTACTATGAGATTGATGTAAACATCCAATGCTTAGGTTTTCATCAGTTAAATATGCTTCATATGCATATACAAATAAAAATATTGCACAAAAGCTTATACTTTTATTTCACACCAAAGCTACACTGTTTCCATGTAAATTTTCAAAGAAGCAACACGGTGCCACGGCTAAGGGAGCGGTGCGAGAGAGTTTATCGAACCTTGTATTATTGAATCATGCGTATGTGCATAGATACGTATGTGCATAGATACATATAACGGGTGATTTTTTAAGAGCTTGATACCTTTTTTTTAAAAAAAAACGCATAAAATTTGCAAAATCTCATCGGTTGAAACGTTAGATTGGTCCATGACATTTACTTTTTGAAGATAATTTCATTTAAATGTTGACCGCGGCTGCGTCTTAGGTGGTCCATTCGGAAAGTCCAATTTTGGGCAACTTTTTCGAGCATTTCGGCCGGAATAGCCCGAATTTCTTCGGAAATGTTGTCTTCCAAAGCTGGAATAGTTGCTGGCTTATTTCTGTAGACTTTAGACTTGACGTAGCCCCACAAAAAATAGTCTAAAGGCGTCAAATCGCATGATTTTGCTTATTTACGAAGCCATTCAACCAGAAATGAGCCTCATCGCTGAACAAAATTTGTCGATAAAAAAGCGGATTTTCTGCCAACTTTTCACACATTCAACACATTTCGAACCGAACACTGATTTTGGTAATAAAATTCAATGATTTGCAAGCGTTGCTCGTTAG